ATGTTTGCTCTGCATCCGAAAGATACGTAACTAATGCATCGACAAAAAGCGCGCTCAATCTCAGGACGAAACAAAAGCAAAGCAACAAAAACTCAACTGCAGTTATCGCTCATTATGGATCTTGATCAATGTGCTGTTGTGTGGAGGAGCTCTTTGGGCAGTCGCCAGAAAAAAACCGCAAGCCACGCACAGGAGTCGAGTCTGGCCCAAGACAAAGGAACTGTCTCGCTCGGCCAGCCAACAAGTGTTGCTGCAACATGTTGCCAAAAAGAGCCAACGGCAATGGCCGTAGCGGCGGCAACAATGCAGCCAAAAGCCAAAGCTAAAGCCAAAGCCCAAGCTGTAGCTAAACTTCCAGCTTCCGCCTCACATCCTTTTGAGGTAACTTTTGCATGGCATAGAATTAGCCAAGTTAACCATCAATAGGCCAAAACGCACTTTTCGATTCGCTACGCTACTGTTGAAAATAATTATAAATTTAATTACTTTTCTAGACAACTGTTTATCTGTATATTTATCTGTGAATTATGAACAAATTACATATACATATGTATATATATATATATATCTTCTCTTTAACTGTAGCGCATCAGTCAAGACATGTTAACCCAGACTTTTACCCCTTTCATTTAAATAATAAAACATTTAATTTACGCACCATTTATGGCAAGCTTCTTCAAATCGATCGTCGATTCGCTTGTTTGTGGTGCATGCAACATTGGCAACGATAAAAACAGCCGACGCAGCTGCGGTTTAGGCAGCATAATAAGACCATATTAAAAAAATAATAATGGAATATAAAAACAAAAGATCTACAAAACCGTAACCGCAAAAGTTGTTTTGAACTTTCTGAAGTTTTTGCTTTAATGGCTCGACTTAAGCGAAACACTTTCAGTGACTGAATCGGTCAGGCTTAGCTTGGGCAAAAATGACATTGAAACGAATCGCTTCTTATAGAGTCTGGACGAGATAGCTATGGTTCACATGACATGCAGGTCGAGTTCTTCAATTTGGCATTGAAACTGCGCAGTTTGTTTAGATATTAAAACACAGTTCACTTCACAATGAATACAGTCTTTGATATCTATGTTAGACGGATCAGAAATGTTTATATTGAACGCCACCCAAACAACATGCCGCATAAGCGAAGTAGTTTTCTATGTCAAATACGGACAATTGCCACCCGATTTGGTGGCATTACGTCCCATATGCATACGCACATCTTGCCAGCTGTCAAATGGAACAATAATAATTTCCAAGCGGAAAACAAGCAAACTGTGCTTTGCGTTGGCCAAAAAAGCCAAAAAGCTAAAGAGAATTTTTCGATTTACCGTTACCGGTTTATAACCCATCAATTATATTGTAATGATGTCTGCTGCTGCCGTTGCTGCTGCTGCATCTTCAGAAATCATGGCTAGAACAACAACAACAACAGGAAATAACACCGAAAGCTAAATACTCTTATAGACACCAATATGTAATATTGATTGGATGGCTCCATAGGTCGAATAAGGTTGACTAGGGATAAGGTCTATCATTCTTCAATATATAAGATTATCTTAAAAACACAAATAATTTGTTCGACTGCAGCATTCCGCATATTTCTGGAGCAAAAGTTGACTCCTTCTAAGCGTTGCCTATTATTTGATCAAGCGAGGATACCCCGGGCAAGGGTATACAAACAGCAGCAGCAGCAGCAGCAACGAGTGGGCAACATGCTCATTATCAACGTCATCATTGGCGTGGCTGCGACTGGGGCTAAAGTCGCATTAGAATGCCAGCCCATTCGGTAAATGGACAGCAGTCGAAAAGGCATACTACTTATAGAGCTGATGTGCATCGGCTCTTTGGCACTCGGATTGCATTTGGCTGCAGCTGCTGTGGCGGCTGCTCATGGCGCAGCATTTGCATTTGAATTCGCATTCGAGTGTCCACTAAATGTCAATTAAGTGGGTTTTAGCACGGTTTGATTCGCCGGTTGCCAAGTGCCCAGCACCCAGTTTACTGATCATTCCCAGCAGCCCCATCCCAACCTGCACTCCCTACTCCTACACCCACTTGGCGACTTCTTTCGCTCCAACGGCGATTCCCACTTTGCCCATACAAATGCATAACATAATAGCAATAACAATAATGCACACAATGCCGTCTGCTGTCTGCTGTCTGCTGCCTGAAGTGGACACCCTGGCCGGCTCCTCATCATCTATGGCAGCAGAGCCACACATGTGTGAGCCTCTCCCAGTTATTGCAGCCAAGCATTGGCGGCTCCCTTTGTCATTTGGCGCGACGCATGCGTAACGTTCGATTTGATTCAATTAATGGATGGGAATTGTCTGTACGTGTTCTCTATGTGGCGTTCAAAGAGCACAATTCAAGGTAACCGCAGCTCTACAGATAAAGAGAGAGAGGAGCAGCAGTTGAATGCAAATATTGGAGTGTTGTGCAAACATCAACTAATGCTAAAATCTGGGAAACTAACTAAAACTAAAAGAGTGTATTTACCTTAATAAGCCTTTGAGTTTCATAAACTAAAAATATTGTTTTTCTTAATCTTCATATGAGCATTATTATTGTTTGATTAGGGTAATAAGAAATTATGTTTCTCTCGTTTATGCTTAAAGTTCTCATGGGAAACCAAACTTAATAATTTAAATTCATTTTTAAGTCTTTTTACGACAGTTTTGAGTATAATTCTAATTTAAATTTGCATTACTCATTCGTTTAAATTACTTCACAACGATTGTTTTCCTTATAACTTTCTAAAACGCAGTTTCCATATCAAGCAAAATGAGAAAGAACAGTTTACCAAAGTCTAAATACTCTATAAAATAGATATATAAATTTCTTAGAAATGTTTTCACTTGTTAGTCTTATAACCAAATGAATAGCTTTTCCAGATGATGCCCCAGGATCCAGTTGGGTTTTAATTGATGCTGATCAAGGGAATATATACTTAATGTCCACAGCGGCGTCTTCTTCTATATTGTGACAGGTTTCGCAACCAATTGAATATAACCTCCACAAGAGGAGCAAATATATGCGAACCCGTTTTCCTGGTCTCGTCTAGTCAGCTTGTAGTACCTAGTTGAGTGCTCTTCAGCAGTTGAATAACTCAGAGTCATAAAGAGATCGTCGCGGCAAATAGCAGCAAACCCATCGATGTCAGTTGCGTTAGAGATAATTACTTTCAAATAAATTAAATGCTAACGACGAGTCGTTGCTCGAATCGATTTCGATTGCGAATTGCGAATGCGATTGCAACATTGAGGCATAAGTTTCCATGCCAAAGCCGGATGATGCGAAATCAATTAAAACTTTCATAATTAACAGTGCCTAATGAGAGTGTTGCCAGCAATTGAGTATGCAAATTGGTAGCATCAGGTAGTATCAATGTCCAATGTTCAAGCCGGCTCATTCAAGCCAGGCAGCAGTCATCCAAGATTGCAATGAGCTTAGCTTTTAAGCAATCGAGATCATTATACGTTTATGGCGACTATTATAATGATGTCACGAAATGTGTAAGGCATAGGACAACTTTCGGAGGCAGTGTATTACATGAGCCTGATTAATTGGTAGACCTTAGAACAAAGCTGTCAAAGGAACGATTCTTGATCAATTTTCTACTCTACTCTAAAGAGAATAGGTTCTACATATTTACAAGTGATCGCAATGAGGCATATTCTGCATGTAAGTAAGTCTAGAAGGGTATTTGATATTTGATGTTACAAATTGGCATTTTCCTTGTACTTAATTGCAACAGCGATCGAAGAGCAGTCGAGTGTCGCTCCAAGAGAAACTGAAACTGAAATCAAAATAAAAATCAGAAAATCATTTAGCAGCTTTTTATGCACATGAGCGATTGCAAGTGCATTATCATTATCACGATCATCATCATCATCATCGTCGCCATGTGATCATCGGCGTAGTTGAGCAGCTCTGTGGAGAGGCACATGCATCGTGCACAACAAGGTTGAAATTGTTAATTGTTGACGCCAACTGAAATCGGTATTATTATGCACAGCTAACCACTATTGCAGCTGTTAAAGCTTACTGTTGTTGCCTGAATCATTTGAAAAACACGGCAAAATAATTATAAGTAATTGCGCATTTGACAAACATATATTAAAATATGAGAGATAACGCGGGCGTTTGTTTTTGAATATTATAATTATAAGCTATTAGAGATAATGAAACCACAGTTTACCATTGCGAGTTCCGTGATGATACTATAAATATACCTATTCAGCACAAAAAGGGCAAGCTTAATTAAATGTATTTGTATACAATATATTTGCCAGCAGTTCATCTAAAGTCAGCAAAATTCAATGTATTTAATCACTAATTAATTGGCAACAAAGAACGCAATAAATATATGCGACATCCTTAATTATATTATAACTTTGAATGCGTTAAGTCAGAGATCTATTATAATTTATGAAAGTTATGGAAGATTAGGTATGGAAGAGTAGACTTAATTAAGCCTTTTCCGATCGTCTGTTATCCAGCATTTAATCTATCACGTTATACAATGATTCCCAAATTGCTCAATCAGTCAGTCAGAAAATTCGCGTTTTTAGAATCATTCGCAAACTGAAAAGGGTATATTAGTCTTAAGCAATATCCGTCTATTTTCAGTTAATGAAATTGTGTATGCATGTGTACTATTATTATTTGGAATCAAGGCAATAAATACTAAACAATATTTAGCTAGACATATATGCACAGCTAAATTATAATTTTGTCTTTCTTTAGTTTTAAAGCTACTGTCTAGGATCCATGATTTGCCGTTGTATTGCTGTTGACCTCTTCTACAAATAGTATAATAAGCCTATTATTATAAGAGTCTATAATTGTTAAGTTAGGCCCCCGAAAATTTTTCTGTTTTTGCACCTTTAACGAGTATTATGGAGTCGGTTGCACGGTATGGCATAGCTTTTAGTTTTAAATGCACAAGACTTTTGCTATCAGTTCCGTTCATCGCATACGGGTTTACCGAAATGATTACTTTGAGCATTACAAAATTGCAATATTTAGTACTGAGCAGTCAAACTAAAGTGTAACTATGGAAATCGCCTTATTTACTGTCGGCATTCTTCAAGTTTGTTTTATACTAAATTTCAGCTTGAATGTAAGTTTAAAAATTGGGCTATTTATAAATAGGCTTGAACATAATTTATTTACTTCAGAATGCAGCTCAAGTTAAGTTTACGAATGTAGTCTGCAACTCATATAATAAATCGTGGATGCTAATACACAGGTGTCATTTGAAAGCTATTAATCGGAACAAGACTGTTCTAAATTTTAATGGAACCGTTTTGCATCCTGCTAATGATATAACTGTGGAATCGCAGTTTTCTCTTAAAGCAAATGGCTATAAGCCTTGGCTTTATAAGCCAAAATTTGATGTCTGTCGGTTTCTTAAGAAGCCATATAATCCTATTGTAATATTGGCTTACAACTTGGTTAAGAACTTTACTAATTTTAATCATACGTGTCCTTATGTGGTAAGTTTAATTTTGTACTCTTTTAACAATATTATTAGTCACTTGATAATTGTTTCGTGTAGGGCTCGCAAATTGTTGATGGGCTTCATATACTTTATGACACTGTGCCCGTTCCTTGGCCGTCTGGTGAATTTTTACTGGAAATCGATTGGTTATTCGAAAAGCGTCTTCAGTTTTCTACAAATGTATATTTTACTGTTGTAGAATAAGATTTAAATATGAGTTCCGATTGGTTTTAAATAAACGTTGAATATTATTTAAAAAAACAGAACTACGAATATAAAAGGGAAATACTTTGCGTGGTTTGGCTGAATAGTTGAGAATCAGTGAACTGAAGCCTAAACTCATTGAAATGAGTACTTATGGCAGTCTATCTAGCCATCTGTCAGCACATTTACAAATTACAAAAATTTGTGGAACTTTAATAATGTTATCAAAAATCTCTATATTAACTAGGCTATTGGGGCATATTCACATCAAAGCTAGTTTATGCTCTAGTTGAACGCTCCAGAGATTACTTTTAATTATTCAGATTTGGCTTATTCCATTTTGTAGTTCATCTATTGCTGAGGTTTTATTTGATATTTTGTTTTTGTGCCAACTCATACTCCCAGCTTGTTTTATTCTTTTGTCTAAGTCTCCTCAGAGTTAAGGTGCATAATTTTAGGATAATTTGTTAAAATATGTCACCATGATTTTGGCCTCTTGGCAGCTCAAGTGTTGCTGACAGAGAGCAACAGCAGCAACAACAGCAACAGTCGCAATTGCTACAAGAGCCATGAAACACATGTGCGATCACAACAGCGTGACTTTGCTGTTTGATCGCTGAGGAACGTAAGAAAATACTGCAAAAGTGAAGGTTGTGCAGCAGCCAAGATGGGAAAAGCTGGAAAGCCGACTACGATGACAGTGTTGACAGCCGACAACATCGTTGGTGGCTACCACAATTAATGCTCTAATAAAGCCGAAGAAAACATGCTGCTGCTGCTGAAGCTGAAACAGACGAAGCCCCAGCGGCGCTTGCAGCTTGCAAAGATCTGAAGGCAGTCGCTAAGTGGAGTTCCGTTAATAATGTTGTCAAAATGCGATGCATTGATAAGCGCTCTTGTTTTGACGCTCTATTATGTGGGCGTGGCTGGCGCCGATGATCGTCGCGATTTCGTGACATTGGGCGTAAAGAAGAGCAGGCGTGACAGCGCCACAAGATCCCCACAACGATTTGGTGGTATGTCCATCGATGGTATAGGCTATCACTACACGTTGCGCTACCAGCCGGGCATTCATCTCCAGAGCTTTGCACAGCAACAGGAACAGGAGATGACTATGGCACCGCCGATGACAGAGATGCCGCCGGCGCCGACAGAGCCTATGGAACCCGATGAACCCGAACCAACTATACCAATGCGTCCGACTTCCATGGAACCAGAAACGGACCCATCTGACACGCCAACTGAACCCAACAGCACGGACATGATGCCAAGTGTTATGCCAACGGAAAACCCATCAGTTAAGCCTCCGGTGAAACCTTCGGTAAAACCTTCGATGAGGCCTTTTCCACCGCCCACTCCCTCCACCACGCGCACCTCTATCATGCAGCCGCAGACATTTTCCACCAAGCTGGCAAATAAACTTAAGCAGCTCATCTATGGATCGCCGATCGAGGCAAATCTTATACAGAAACAACCTGGCGCACCCAAATCTAAGGGCAAGGGCTTCTTGAGTCTCTTCGAGGTGATCAAGTTTCCCAACACCAAGTGCAGCGTTTCGATGGGCGACATACGCACCATGGAGGGTGTCTGCTATCACGAGTTCGAATGTAAAAGCTTGGGCGGCATACCCACCGAAAGCTGTGCCGAGGGTGTCGGCGCCTGTTGTATCTGTGAGTATGTCTACCTACTGTCCACTGATCAAGTGCTGAACTGATCATGCGTTCGCTTGTGGTTAATCGAGTGCCCGACCCAACTACTTTCGCTTTCAGTTGTTAACGGCTGCGGCGATGTTACCAGCCAACAGATCGTGTACTTTGAGAGTCCCAACTATCCACAGGCCGTGCGTGAAATGATGATCTGTGTGCTGATCGTAAATCTCAGGAAGGGGGTGCAGCAGCTGCGTTTGGACTTTCAAATGTTCGAGGTATTTTGGAAATTCCTTAAAGAGGAAGGAAGGATATACATATATTCATTATACATACTCGATTATAATGTCAGACTAGACAGATCTGGGTATATGTTGTTATCTTTTCTGATCACTCATTATATAATTTCGATCCATTGATTCGTGTAAATTTCAAAAATTTGAATTTCCAAAATGTCTTTAAGATAAAACATATGTCCTTCATTTTTAGCTGAGTCGCCCCACAGATGGTGATTGTTTAGATGATCAGTTCATCATATCTGGACACAATGCTAACTTTCAAGTACCCATACTCTGTGGCATTAATACGGGTCAACATAGTAAGTAGTAAGGGGATAAAATTTAGTTTTCCAATGAGACTCCACTTCTATTTATTGAGTAGTTTATGTGCATGTGGGCGACTCCAATGAGAGCAAGATATATCTCTCGGTATTTGTCAAGGTCTCCAGCGGTGGGCGATCGTTTAATATTATGATCAGACAACTTGAAGATGAGCTCGCGCCGGATAATTGCCTACAATATTTCAGCGACGGTGAGGGTATAATCAAGTCCTTCAACTATGACGTAGCTGGCAGCATTGTGGACAACCGCGAGGCAACCTATCTAGTAACTATTCCTCAACACGAAACTTAAGAAATGGCTCGTGCTTAATATGCTTTCCATACACAGAATAATCTCAACTATGCAATATGTTTGGCCAGGTCTAAGAACGTGTGCAGCGTAAGCTATATCACCGAGCAGCAAGGCGGAGATCAGCCCGACTTTCAGCTCATCAATAAGGATGAGGGTAAGGAAAATGGAATATAAAATGATTTTTAATATGTGGAATCACCTTGAGCTCTTCTTTTGACAGCAGAAAACGATCTGGTGGCCGATGGCCAGGCCGGCGCTGGGATCTTCAATTGCCCGGACGACTTCATAGCCATCAATTCAGTGCGACTGTGCGGAGAGCGACTGAACGATGGAATCGAGGTTGAGGATTTTACCATGCATGCCACAGTGAGGGATATAGCCGCCGGTCCCATAGTGCTGCCCTTTCGCACCGATGCCGAATATGTGGGTCGCGGCTTTCGTCTGCTCTACAGGCAGGAGTTGTGTGTCTGATATGGATGCAGCTCGGTTACGGTTAGATTTACCGCTGCAGTTACTGTTACCGCTCGTAGTTCATAGACTGCATATGCCGTTGTTTGCATTAAAGTTTGGAATATGTTACGCTTCAGTCCGAATCTTAAATCGACTGCAGGGCCTTTCTGGTTGCTATGGGAAAACTTGACATGCATGCGACCATTTCCGTTCCCAGTGCTGTGTTAATGTGTTTTATGTATTTCAGCGTTTTGGTGGCTTAGTTTTGGCACCGCCCACCCGCCGGCTGGGCGGTCTGCGAGTTCGTAGTTCACAGCCGGTTGGCGTTGGTGTCGGTTGACAGGTTTATTTCCAGATATTCATATCTCGCCTTACCGAAACTATGACGAAATCTATAACTTGCCGCATCGTCATCGTTTGTGTTCAAGTCGAAGTGGAAGTTGAAGTCGCAGTCGCAGTTGCAGTCGAAGTCAAAGTCTCAGTTGGAGTTGGAGTTAGCGGAGTCGAAGGCAGAGACGTCGCCAGGGCCGGTGTCGTGTTGGTTTCTATGCTTAAATTTGTAATAAATTTGATTTTTTCCTTTCGATTGCGAATTTTCATTGTTCCTTTTGGCCGTCGTATGATAAAGTCACAATTAACCCACGCCTTTTTCGTAGCGGTACTCTTACATATATTTGCATATCATTTTGATTGTTTGGATCGCTGTCTGCGCCGCTGACATGGTGATGACTAAAAGTGTGCAGCAACGCCATCACCACCATCACCACCACCATCGCCAAACAACAACAGCTCCACCGACAACCAGCTGGAGCAACCAGCAATCATAAAATAGACAACAACAAATATTGCATGCAAACATTTTGAATTTGAAGTTTGTCATCAAATGGCGGCTGAAGCCTTGGACAAGGCGCCATGAGGCACAGTGGAATGATTTCTGATTTTACTAAACTAATAATAAGCTTTAAAGGTTATCCTTGGAATAAACTTGGTCAGTCAATTTTTACTTGAGCTGCAGTCATGTCCTATGAAAATATGACTTTATCTATATTTCTTTTGCAATATTTACTATAATAAAATATATCGAATTTGTATATTAGGAAATTATAATGAAAATTCTGCAATCTATACCACAGTGTCGCCCAGCTCTAGCATAAATAAATAAAACCCGTAAAGTCGAAAAAGTATAAAATAAAAATCGCTTCAGGGCGTAACGTGCACTACATTAGAAATTGAAAATCCACCGACACCGCCGACAATGACGACGACGACGACGACGACGAAAACGACATCGAAGTCGCTTTGGAGCTGTGTTTGGCCAAAGGAAAACATGAGAATCTTTTGTCATGCAGAGTCAGTCGCTGCTGTCTGTTGGGCCACAGAGCCAACAAAGCGCCGCTTGATGGAAATTAGAAATACAGTCAAATTTTGAGGAGAGGTTTTTTTGCTTTTGGTACTTTGTTTTTGTTTGGGCTGAGAGGAGAAGAACGTGCAGGGCAACGCCTTTTGTCATGGGGAGATCTGTGGCAACATTTGGGCATTTGCATAAGTTAATCAATTCGCAATGAGGCAAAAGGTGAAAAGTATGCAATTGCCAGCCTATCAGATCGCAATCGCACTGTTAACTGTCGGCAATCAAGCCAAATGAATGCTGAAAATTGCCATCGAATCGGCAATCGCTTCATGTCTTTTAATTGTCAACACCCCCCCGGCAACAGCAACAATAACAATAACAATGGGGACCCACAGCAGACACAAAATATGTCCACCACAATCGCTGTTGGCGGTCAGCTAAAGCCATTTCAAGCGGCATACCAGAGATCACAATCGCAGCAACAACAACAACTGAAAACTCTTAAACGTTAAGGAAAAAATGCCAATAAATTTTTGACAAGACATTATACAAATGCTAACTTTATTAAACGGCGTTGCGGCAAGGCCGTGTTATGGGACCACCGCATGGATTTTAATTGCCAGGTTATTGATTTAAAATACAGCCGAAGTTGCTGCCAACTTGTTTTCGGCTTAATAAAGCGATCAGCAGGCCGATAGCTTGGCCGATCTCTTGCTTATAGAGATGGGCGCGTGCCTGATTTCCTTTTCACGTTACGATAAGACACGGTAACACGCATGCGACCTTCGGAGTCAAAAGACACGTTATAGCAATCTAGGAGCATTGATCTAACTGTAACGAAATTTGTTAAATGATGCTTAGCTCTGACTGGAACAACTTCAACTTACATACATGTACTCTTAGCAGCAGAAGGAGAATCATATATACAAAGCTTGATAGATCTAGCTGTCAGTCTGAGCGATTGGCTTTGCATAGAAGCAGACAAATACATTAGGAAAATTGCTAGATTAAGATTCTGTAGACACTATAGGATCACAAAGGAGTTATGTTTCTTTTGATAGTATTATAATTACTTTGATATTGATAAAAGTAGCTGCTGTTGATAATACATCCACTCACGTTGATGCGCAGCACTTCGTGACACGATGGAAAATCTGACAGCGGAAGGCTTTGCCTGTGCTGTGTGTGATCGTCCAAAAGAGTTGTTATTGCTTCTCCTTTAACGATCTAATGAAGAAATTTTCATACCTGTTGCATTTTATTTCGCTGCTCGTCTGCAATTAATTTATTTGAATGCCTGGCAGTTGATCATTTGGCCCCGTCTTCGACTGCTGATGGGCCTTTAAGCGGCATGGGGTCTTTGCTGTTGAGGCGTATTTTTGCATTTTGCATTTTGCATCGAATGCGATTGGCGCCGCGGCCCAGCGACTCAAGCTTGAGTTCCCAGATCGATGAATCTATAAAATGTTGGCAGTCCATCGTAATTCAATGTAATTAGTCATTGCAAACTAATGAAATGTCTTTTCTGGTAATGAGAAAGCTATGCTGGAAAGGGATTGGCAATTGATTTGAAAGATTGATGGATCGATCGAGAGAATGTGACGGGAACGAGATGAACACATAGAAAGCTCCCCAAAAGTGTAAAGATTACAATAGTTGTATTTAAAAGGCAACACTAAATTGCCTAAGCTATTACATAAATGTATTTATTGTTTAACGAATCGATCGAGGAAGCATGCTGGCATATATATGTATGTATATTCCGTAGCTGAAGAATATGAGATCCTCAATAACTGCCAGCTTGACAAAATAGCCAATAGCTGACACTTGATCCCTCAGGGCCAGGTTATTGGCAAACATGTGGGAAATTCGCTATGCATTATTATAAGCTATATATGTCTATATGTATAGTTAAAACCAACTGACACGAACACCATCAAGCAGTGATTTTATGATTCACGCTTGCATTAAAAACACACCAAACTGGGGTAACAAATCGCGCAAAAGTCTATGAAACAAAGGCCTAAGCCCAAAGCTTAACTACCAAGTATTAAGAAATGCTGCCAGACGAGGACTGGGACGCTGTGACGATGCACGCGTCGGCTAAGTACAAAACAACGGACTGTTCGCAACTTCACGCCGTAATTAAACTGTCTTCGGTTGTGTTGTACCTGCGTTCAAGCATTAAGCCGTCCAAATTTCAACCAGTGCCATTTAAAGTTTCATTTATTTTACATATTAACTCCATACCAGTCGTACACCTTATATACTTTATATATATATATATATATATATATATAGGGTATATGTTTATGTCGATTTTCACACTATTTTCTACAAATTTAACGATTGTGTTCGTGATTTTTACTGCCGCTCTTTTAGCACTCTTGGAGACGAAGCGGGACGTCTTCAAGTAGACTTCTTGCTTACCTATTTATTTGCATGTGTGCAAAATAAAGTGAAATACAAGAACTTTGTTGTACTGACTGAAAAATACCCTGTATCAAGATTTTCAAATATATTTCTGCTTTTTAAATATTCATTCAGCACTTTTTGTTGACTATATTTCAATATTTATACTTAGTACTCATATACTTAGTACTGTTTTGTAATATTTGGTATGTGCAGGGTATGAAAAAAATGTCTACTTGTCGCCGTTCAACTTACAGTGAGAATTGGACAACATTTTGCTTAGGCAATATGTTTTGCTTGAATAATTTTACGGATGGAAAATATATCAATGGCTTTAGAGCCTGGATTTTAAATATTTTCTGCGAACTCAACTAGCAAGGAAATGCTTAAAAGTTATACAATTTTACATATATGTTAGTATTTATAGTAGAGATGATTCCGAAGAAAGATAGAAAAATATCTTTTTGCTGACATTTTTTACATGTTCATTAATATAAAGCTATAGTCGTCAGTTCTCCTATTTTATAATTTATAAATTTAAGTTCAATTGCATTTGTTGTTGTTTATAATGCAATGGAATACCCGTAATATTCTTTTCATATATTCTTATTGCTCATTTAATATAACATCTTTATACACTTAGCATCACATATTCTTCCCTTATATATCAATTTGATTTAATTCGATGGACTTACTCAAAATCTTCCCAACACTTGTTCCTCGACTTGGCTTCATATAATCACACTTAATCGCTGCTGCAGCTCTTTTAAAATTTGAATAGCCCTCGCATTATCTCGTGCGCACACAAACGTATGGCCATATAATAATCTCGCACTTTCATGTGCATTCATCAAAGTTTCAACACTTCGCCAAAAAAGGAGCCTTTCGAAAATTTGCCTGTTACTTGGGCGCCAGAATGCATTGCATGTAAGAGATCTTGGCCAAGTGGCAGGCGAGCGACACCGAGCCAAGCCAAGCCAAGCCGAGCCGAGTCGAGACGAGAATGGGGCGATAACAGCCGGCTGGCGTGGAGCAGAGGCTGGAGCTGAGTGAAAATGGAGAGGAAGTGGGCACTGGCTGTGGCAACTGATGCCACAAGAAGGTGCATAAATCGCGTGAAAAATGTGAAAGAAAAAAGCATTTTGACACCAAAGCAAAAGGTGGCTGTTAACTGGCAGTGCGTTAAAACACGTTGACTCGATGATGATTATGAATATGAAAAATTAATGATAGTCACAGCATGGCAACAGTTGCACGCACAGCACAGAGCGGCCGATGCGAATGCGCTGATTAAGCATACGCAGC